CCTTGATTTGAATAGTATCTTTCTCAGAGAAACCTCACACTTAAAGGAGAAGAAACCTTTCTCTGCATAGGAAAAAAAACCATATGAGAATGTAAAATTTGTAATATTTTTCAGTATTATTGTATTATCTCCAGGGTTTCTTGACTTACTACCACATCTAATAACTTTTAGTATTACAGCATTGCCAGACTATGAAAGAAACAAAGCACAGTATCTCATGTGCACTCTGCTCTTTTAAAGTTGGAAGGGAAATCTCTAGGAGTAATGAGCATTACTCTGAGCTGTGTGTTTTGCAACATTATAAATTATAAATCATAATGCTATGGAAAACCAAACCAGAGAACGAGGTCAAGCAGAGATTACTAATTGTCTAGATTCCTAATAGTCTGCATGTTCCCTGCTAGTCAGCACTTTCCAGTAGAAAAATCAGACTTGGCTATACCATTCCCAACAGGCAGTGTGGACACGACTGCACAAGATATGGTTTTCCAAACTTTCAGGGTAACTTCAAGCCCTAAAATGGCCTTCCATACTCTCATTCTATCCACCATGTGCCTTTCTTCCATGATCCCCCCTGCCTTTCCATTACATGAAACTGAACCTGTTCCTAGTTCATTTAAAACAGATGTACATTTATTTTCAATCAGTCTTTATACAAATCTTCCAAATTCTTAAAAACTTATAACAAACCCTCTTGGTACTGGATTTGAAGGAAACCATGATGGTGTTGATGGTGAAGACACCTTTTTGGCAGACAGATGTACAATAGTTGTCTGCTTCTCTCATGAGCACACAGACCTGACCTGACCCTGCCTTGCAGGCAGGTGTTGAAGTGCTGCTCTCCTGTTCCTCTGTGATGATGTCCAGTCTCTGGTGATGATACAAGAAAGTTGGTGGAACTTACTTTTTTCCTAGAAAGCAAAATTTTGCCTCCTCTCTGGTTTGCATTTTCAGTCTGGTTATAAGTCAAAAGTATTATTGGTTTAATCAAGCTCTGGTCAGTAGTTCCCCAATCCTGCTTTACATTACATTTTACATGTAAAATTTGCATTTTACATACAGTTTGAAATGACAATACTAAATTATGCTGATTCCTACATCTGTATCATAGCAAGATAAATAATTGGAAAACACCTCCATACAAAAGTCTTTCAATTGGTGGGTCTGAACTTCCCCATCACTGGAAAAACAGACAGCTTCTGTGTAAATCTTTTCTTTTAGATATTTTGGATTGAATTTCAAAAAAGTTTGCCTTTCAATCTAGCAGATATGTTGTGCAAAGTTATAAACTTTTGACTTTTTCCTCTTGCTACTAAAAACCTGAGCTAAGAACAGAACACAATTTGCATGTAAACTCCAATCAGAGTTCACAGGCAAAGAGAACACAAAGCAGGCAGAGTTTTCAGCACTACTCTGATTCATACGAAAGTGGATAAAAAGCTGTGGGCTTGACATGTGACTCCACCTTCCCATCCCAACGTTACCATTGTGGCTGTGCTATGCAGTCTGTCATCTCTCTTCCTCAGGGCTCCATCTCCACAGTGTTTTTTTCCCACTCTTATCTTTCACAGTGGTCTGGCCTCTCCCCTGAGGAGTGCTGGTAGGTGGGAAAACATAGGGTGAGGGAGAGCAGTGAACACTTTCAAAAACATGATGAATGTGCCACTTATGTTCAGTTTACAATTTAACAATGTTGAGGCTAAGTATGCCATTTTATGACATATTTTGTTTTCACAGTTGCTAAGCAGGGGGTGAAGTGAAATTAGTAACCTACTCTCTAAATCCAAAAAAAAAAAAAATAAAAAAAGCAAACCTAAAATTTTTTTTTTTGATGTAACTGCCCTTTGTAATAAGTTTGGAACTGCTGTCTAATAATTCATGCTGGCCTGACATTAGTTTGTCTTCTGGATGAATGTGTTGGTCTAATTCCAGAGGCATCTGTCTGCAAAAATACACAGAAAGGAGAAGATTGTATTAAACTTAGCCACTGCTTAGCAAATACTTGAGGGGGGAATCATTAGGTCAGATTCTGGTTCAGGGTTGTGAATCTTCTGGACTTAAAAGACTGGTTTGACTGCTCAGGCTCGAAGCCCAGGAACAAACTGTAGGAACTAATGACAACTAAGCACTAAGGAGTGCCAACAACAATTCTTTCTTCAGACAAACATATCAGGTTTTGAAGTGTCCAATTCCTGCTCTTTGGCTATGTGAAGAATTTAGTTTAGGGATTTAGGGAACCTGAAACCAGCAGAGGAGAAAGCTGTTTGTTTTAGGGTTTTTTTTGGTGGTTTTTTTTATTTTGTTTTGGTTTTTTTGGTAAAAGAAAAAAAATAAAAAATACCTATTGATCTATTAAAACTCCAAGGCACTTGGAAAAAAAAAAAAATAAAGAAAAGCTTTGTTGTTACCAATGACATATATGCATTTTGTTTCAAGAGGGCTTCCAAATGGAAGAAATGCAGGTTTCTGAACTTACTTCAATCTATAGATAACTATGCCTCTTGATACTTGATACTTTGATGCAGGGAACTTTAAAATGTCATCATTTTGAACATTATAGAATAACAATATAGATCAAAATGTACTACTTTTTTAACAACTAAGACTTCAGGTTTGATGCAACTACTTTTCTTCAAATATTTCATACTTTTTAAAGCAAGCCCTGATGGTCAAAAATTCCAGTAAAATGGAAAAATAAAAAGAAATGGAATCATAGAACAGGCTAATTTTCCAAGGCCAGGTATAAGACCTAGAGTAGATTGTGACTTTTCTTTTATGCCTAGCTTATCTACAGTGATGAAAATATTAGTCCACAGTACCAGTTACTTTTCACAGCATCTCCCATGTATTTAAATCTCTCATTTATTTAAAGCCATAGTGTCCAGAATGGGTCCTTCATGGAGAGTTGGTCTCCCAGCCTCACACACCTCAAATAAACTGGAGCATCAGTAAAAGAGACTGACATGAAGCTACAGAAACCACATGGACACTTGGAAAGAAGTGCTGAAGCTGAGGTTTTCTGAAAAGAAGTTTATGGCCTCTAGAAGATCTCTTCCAATAAATTTTAAGTGACAAGGTACAAGGGCTATGTCTTTGGCCTTTTTCACAGCTAGAACAGGTTCTCCTCCTGCCTGTGCTCAATAAAAATGTGGAGAAAACTCTGATAGAAAAAATATCAGGAATCATCTGTAAAATACTCTCTACTTTTTCTCCTTTCTCCCCCCAGGCACTGCACACAGTCTGAAATCAGAATTTACTGCCATTTTGCTGATGATTCAAGAGGCAGTGACCTTCTTTCCCAGAAAAATAATGAGTCATCAGCACAAAGCACAGTAAAACATGGTCTTTGAGTGGCCCTTTTTCCATGTCTGCCTATTTATCTAAGAACCGTGAAATACATCATGAGCATTAATGGCTATAAATTAGGTGGCAGAAGGTGGGTTGATATTTCTAATCCAGAACATGTTCCTGATGTACTCAGTGAGATCAACTCTATTTTAACTCTACTACCTTTTAGTGTGTTTATTTAGCTGATGAAGACCCGCTAGCTTAGCAACATTTAGCAATGTGCTCAAGGTCCTGTGCGAACATGGTGGCAAATTCAACAATGAACACAGAGATTTTAACTCCCACACCTCTGCTTCAGATACATTTTCTTGGAATTTTCCACGGATGTTACCCGGACGACTCGTAGGAAGCAGATGTTTTTGTTGAAAATGCCACTTTTCTGGCAGCGACATTTCGATGTGATGGTTATTTGAATAGCACAAATGACCTCCCTGTACATTTGTTGTATCTGCTTGAGAATTTTCTTTCTGAGTTTTAGCTTGTAATTGTATTTTAAGGGCCGCTTCTCGCACCATTCATAGTAGCACAACAGCTATTAATTCTGCCTACCTTGATTTTCTTTTTCTCTTTCCTTTAACGAGTTTTTCACAAACTTTCATCAGCACAGATGAGGCCAGTGAACATAACAAATATAAAATAGATCTGTGAGACTCACTCATTAGACACATTTTATTTAAATGTGGGTGCAGCTTGCCATAGCACAAGCCAGGCAATGCACACAAGTGAAGAGCACAGCCAGCAGTGATGAGAGAGGGGAGCTGGGGTTGCTCTTTGCTTTGCCTTGTCCTCCCACACTGCTGTGTGCCTCGGTGATCAACCTGCATTATTCACACAAGACTAGACACAAGGGGAAAGCTGGACTGTAGGTACCATCCAAACATAAAACCTAAAGCTTTAACTTGAACTATGCATAGCAAGCCTTAAAACATAAAACATTTGTTTAGGTATGCAGCTGAGGATCAGTGTTTATACGCCTTGAGGGTCAGCAGTTTTCTCTTTCCTTGCAGAGTAATGTTAGCTGCTTTTTAAACTGGTATGTTCTGCTGGTCAAGTGTGCCTGTACATACATCTTTATACTTTTATATGTGTGTCCTGTGGTGTATATGTGTGTAAAGAGAATATATGTTCTTACACACCAAATGCCTGTGCATGCAATCCATGCGAAGAGTATCAGATTTCTGTGAAATACTTATCTTTTCTCTCAACAAACCTGAAATTGAAAAAAGAAAAGTCTAGCATGCTACCTTTTGTTTTTCCCAGAAGAAATAAAGCAATGTGAAGGCTGCAACTGGTTGACAAAACCTTTACACATCTGATTTATGTCAACCAACATCCAATACTGGGTATCACATCACTCTCCCTTCAACCCTCCTCATCTGCTTGCTTTTGTGTTATTCCTCTATGTGCAAATTGTTTGGCACACTAGTAATGGGATGTGGATAATGAACTTGCTATTGCTGATGAAATATATTTCCCAGAAAAAATAAGAGTGTATAAGACCTTTAATAGATACTGGAAGAAGGAATGTGTCCCTTATTAGGTATTTTGTTACTTCTGCAGCCCTCTTTGATGTCTGTAATTTACTTTCCCATTTTGTTTTTGGAAGTTCATAGATCTAGACCTTGTTTGCATCAAAAAAGATTGCAATAATCTCAGGGAAAGTTATAGCAGGCCTTTATTCCTATATAAAGTAAACTTAAAATTTGATTAATTACACATCTTTTTACGTTAGATCTGCTTAAAAATTCTATTCAAACTATAATGTCATCATTAAGGCTCTTTCAGCATGGCAGAATTGACAATAGTTAGTTTCAACTTGTAATTAGGACATATAAAAACCTTCACTATAAACAGAATTTTAATACCTACGACATCATCAGAGGAGAGATTTTATTTTATGGATTGCTTTTATCCTATTTTGAGCATCTAGCATGAACTGGTGTTTTTGTTAATGTGCAATGAAACAATGACAAGATCAAGTCAACATCTAAATTGTCTCATGTCAGGAGGAGTTGTGGACTTTTTCCCCCAGCAGCCTCACATGGTTCTTCAGGGCTAAGGCAATGCTGCAGCAGTTCTGACACAATCGACAATGTTCCACTCTTACATAGACAGTGTCCATAATTTATTTTCCTTTACTGATTTATTTCTTTTTGCTAGATGTGAAAAATATAATAGAGCTAACTTTTATTTTGAATAGATAGGTATTAGAAGGGTATTCTTTATCTTTCTGCCTGTATGGATTTATCTAGCATTAATTTTCATTTACAATCTTGATTGCAAAAGGCATGCACAGAAATCTTTATATTTCTCAGTGTTCTTACTGGAGCACAGAGGTGTCAAATACTATCAGGTACTAAATTAGCAAGGACATTTTCACTGAAATTGATTTCTTGAGTCTTTGGAATCCTTGAAATCACTCAAAGTCCTTGTTGCTTTTCAGGTACCCTATTAATCTTTATAGTGTCGTATTGGCATTGTTGGCTAAAGGTTTCCTGCTCTGCTTTCTGGACAGATGTGAACAAGCCACAAAAGGGCAGGGATCCACCTTTAATTCATAAGAATACAGGTCTCTAAACTGGAGAGAAAAATCGTATTAAAAGCAGTCATAATTACAAGGTGTAAGTGAGACATAGGGTGCTGAATTATTCCTGGATAGAGATATGTCTGTGTTGATCCCTCTGCTGACTTAACTTTGCTGGTCTCCAAGTGTGGTTTAAAATCTCATAAAGAAGTGGTTCAGAGCTAGGTGACTGATTCTTATCAAAACTCAACACCTACCAAAAATTATTAGCAGAAGTGGGGACAAAAAATATGAAGAAAAGGAAAGAAGAAAAAGCTTGTAACAAGGAGTAGGGAGTGTGGTAGAAGGAGGGAAGGAGGTGGACTGCAATTGTAAAACCCCATTTGCAGGGAAACAAAGAGCAATCAATGTAATAGCAGTATAAAGCAGTCAAAAAAGGACAAAGGCTGCAGTCTGACATCTTTTATTCCTGAGCCCAGGTGGAGCTATAATTGGCAGTCCCAGCTTGAAGATGAATACAGTGTAAAAGAGCCCTCCCTTTGGAAGAGCAGACAAAGAAGTGTCAGGTTTTCAGAAGAACAGTCAAAGAATCTCTAGTTTTTTTAAGGAGGAGGGGGGAGGAGAGGACTAAAAAAATAAAAAAATAAAAAATTAAACGTGGTCATAGGGTGAAAAAATCTTGGCAGGTTTTGAAACTTGTGGTTGTTCCCTGTTTACAGTTGTTACAGAGCAGCGAGAACAGTCACCTAAAGAGTACCTGACATCCTCTCAAGGTGTTGCTGGCCATATCTGCAATTTGGGTGCCAAATGCCGATCCCTTTGTTCACAATTAACAGGGATGGCAGAAAATCTGGGCACAATCAGTTGTGATCATTGACATTTAGATTTAACTAAGACAGACTGGCTGCTTTCTTGCTACACAAGAAGGATAAAACATTTTATCATGGAATATCTTTAGCCTGAGCTCAGGATTCCAGCTATAAGGCCCTTTCCACAAAAAGGAACATACAGACTGTGTTGAAACATAAAAATATTCAGTATAAGCAGAAATATAAAAAATATTTATGTTTTTTTTTTCAATGTAATTTAATATCAATACCTTGTGTCTCTGTTTTCCTGGCTCAACTCCTTAAAATTAATTTTTTTAAAGTTCATGAAAAATCTCTGAGGTGCAGATCCCAAAGTACACAGATTTGGTGATAAGAGTGCTTTATTCCTTTTTTGAAAAACAGCGATGGAAAATATCTGAAAATGTAAAAAAGACAACATCTAGGGAAGAAGTGCATCACTTACAGCCTCTTCTAATAAACTAGTTTCTTAGGGAATAACTGCATTAAAATTAATCAGAGAGCTACACTTCAAATTAACCAGCAAAAATTCTCATTTTCTTTCCAGATATTATGTTTAAGTGTGCTTAACTATCATTTACTCAGTGGGGGACAGGGATAAAAAAGGCATATTATATGAATGCATTGGTTTACTCTTTTCTTCTGGCCAATAATAGATCAGGAATGAGGACTTAGTTTTCTGAGATTGTTAGTTTGTAGCCATTGACCTTCTGTTTCAATTTTTAATTTGAACTCTGGATGGAATATTTTTAACCTCTAGAAAATTCTGCTATTGTTGACCTTCCAAATTTATGATCTTAGAAAACCTACTGAAAGTAGGTTTGCATTTCTGGGGGTATGTATGTGTCTGTCAAAGTCTGTGTGTGTATACACACACGTACAGACACACAAAAGGTCTTAAAAACTAATTTAGTGACCTAATCAGGTCTATTCCAGGATTCTCTTAGCAGTAGTGGCCATGAGCAGATGCTTAGAGTAGGTGCAGTATGAATGTGATCCTTGAGACTAATATTTTCCTAAGACAAATTATTTTCAACCAAGAATTTTGTGTCTGCTCCTCTCAGAAGGAAGTGTCACAGTGTTCAGGCTGGCTAATGGAAATAGCTCCTGACAAGTGCTGTCCCACAAACCACATCCAGGCATCATCTGGCATGTGTCAAAACAATGTTAAGGAGTGTGATAACAATAAAAGAGTGCAACAGTCCTGGTACAGTACTGTAGTGTATTCCTGACTGTGCCCTGGCCTTATTTTATGTAGTTGCATAGGTTGTAGTTGCTAAATCATACTTCACTTACTCTCCATATAAGTGGGCTCTTCCCAGAGAATAACTTTGTCTTTCCTTGTCTACAAAAGAAGCAACATCTGGAAACAGATGTCATCTCTGCTGAAGTGTCTCTAGTGCAGCAACAGGTGGAGTGTCAGCAAGCTTTCATTCTCCTATCATTTCTGTTTTGGATCTGTTCATGTACACTTCTCCATGTGTAAAAAAAAATAGGAGCTAGATATCAGTAACTAATCAAATACATAAATTAAATGTTGACTTTCCACTTGCTACAACTAGGATGGGGAGAGAAAGGTAACAGTTGCAGCATATGGAGATGGTGAGCAGCCCAGGCATTGCATGTTCAGAGACCACAGATCTTGTTTTGACCTCATATGTGCACAGCCTGATTTGAAGGGTCAGCTCAATGAATTCAGTGAGACAAATCTGACAAATCCAGAGCATTTTACAGTAGGGTAGTTGAATTTTTCACTGACTCACTTTGCTGCTGGGCCTTCTGTGATTGCTAGACCTGAATGTCAGATTGCACTAGTTTGCCTAATATCATCCATCAATTATAAAATGGCATGTCTCCCTCGAATCAGTATGACTAGGTTGATGAAATGTACATCACAAACATGTATGTATACCATAAACAACAGTTATGATGAAAATTAAGGAGAGTTTTCTAGTGAGTACATATATGGACAGTGATTCAAGACTGTGACTGTCATTCATTTTAACTTCTAAAAGCTGTCTAAGTTACTTTTTTGCAACCCATTTATCCAGCATTTTCTCCAGTGACTTTTCTATCTTTACAAGTGTAAAACAGAATAATGATGTTGAAGTATATCAATATGTATTAGCTCTACACATGCAATGAACTGAGGTGTGCAGTAAAAACACCTATATACACTCATAATTACATGCATCCTGATACTCATGCAAAGCCTTGTGATTGCCATTAGTCTTCCTCACTAACTTTTAACTTTTTGTGTAATGCATATACATATGGTTTCTAAGAATATGTAAAATTATTATGATATTTTTATTCATGGAATTTATGTGTATGTGGGCATAAAGTAATAAGTTTCATACTGAAAGAGCTTAAAAAAACAAACTGCTAAAGTGGGATGCCAAAGACAGGACAAATATAAAACCTAGGTAGGAAGTTGGGACATCTGTTTTCTGATAAATGTTATGCATTTTATTTTTCACTTATCCAGGGCTGTGCTATTTATCACTTGTGTTTACCTGCTGTACTTGCCGCACAGACTGCGAGTGCCTGAGGCAGGGACTGTTTTCTTTGTTATATGTCTGTACACTACATAGCACAATCGATCCTTGATTACGTGCCTAGGCAGTGGCATGGTGTATATAAATAATAATAACTTTCCAGTGCATGGCCTTTTGCGACTGAATTAAGGACAGAGTGGGACGGTGAAATAGCTGTATTGTAAATTGAAGTCAATAAGGACAGCAGACAGCCTTTGTTGTCCCTGAATACATCATAAAAATAACATGCATGAACAGCGAAACTCTATTTTGGTTCAAAAGAGCCATTAACTAGCAATGACCTAAATTCACTTTATTTCTTAGTGTAGTTTGGATGACCTTCCATACTTGTCAGACAGGACTGAGCTGGATTTTCTGCCAGTGCTTTAGGGAATGACAGGTCTGAGTGGTCTTCATAATCTATTAATCCTAATCCAATCTACCTGTACAAAAAAAGGCTGCAAAAAAAACAACCCTCCCAAATTTATGTCAAAATAATATGGAACTGTTTAGTAGGTGGGAGCTTGAAAGGAAGGTCAGTGGGCAGAAGCCTATGAGTATGGCTGGTTCCTGCAATCTTCCTTGATGGCCTGCTATTTCAGCATCTAGTGGCTGAAAGGAGGAAGAGTTAAGGCTGTCTGAAAATCAGTTTGTCATCACTGAGTTTCTGCAGACACTGTTGGCAAGTGTGCAATAGCTGGACTGGACTGCCATAGGGAAGGATGTAGCCTCCTGGGTACACAGTAGTCAGCAGAACTGGGAGATTTAAAGAATATCTTCAGTCCTTGAACAACTCCTGAAAGTAGATTTTAAGTCCTAATGAGATCCCTGTGGTCTGTGTGATGAAGCTGACTGTCCATGATAGTCCCCTCTAGACCAAGCTTCTTCCTTGGAGACAAAGTTATGGAGGTGCATTTTACTCATCTGTTCTGTAGGTCACAGGGGTACCAGTAACAAGGATCAGCTTCCCACCTAAAAGACATTGTTGAAATAGTTCTGTTGAGCATAAAATTAAGAAGGAAAAACACCACAAGGCAGGAAAACCTCTTAGGAATAGAGAGCAATCAAGAATATCATTATAAATTAAAATAAATTATATTGCAAACCTTATTTCTCAAATTACTCTCTGCCAATGTCTTTAAAAATATCTCTAGTAAACTAACTTTATTTCTGTCTTACCTTGATCTTGACTCATCCAGACTGTTTTTATCCAAGTCTCCATTTCAGGAAAATATTAAGACACAGACCTTCTGGAAAAGGAATTCAGAACTGGCCTCATGACAGTGGTTATATCATCACCTTTATCATGACTTGGCTAAGCTTACCCATTGTTCTTGACTGTGTGCTGGAAATGTGGGGTTCCAAAGAGCCTTATGACTATTGTGGGAATAAAAATTTCCTGATGTTACTCCTGGGAAAATCCTGGCAGCAAGAAGCTGGTGAGCCGCTGAGTAATCCTATGCAAGCCTGACAGGTTTGGCAAAGCTAAACCTGACTGGTTTGAAGTTCACTTTCACTGAGAAGCTTATTAATATTTTCTGCCTGATCAAACTTGGTAGAGTTTTGATATGATGTAGAAAAATTTGAGTAATATCATTTTTTAATTCTGGGAAGTTCTTTTTAGAAATCAAAATTGTGAAAAAACCAAACAAGTTTGAGAAAATCTTATAGTGCATATCTCATTAATTTTCAATAGTACAAAGGTTTACAAGCTGCTAGCAAAGACTGAGTATTTTTCCTTGTTTTTACATTTTAAAACTTGTTATAAATTTTAGGGAAGAAATTTAGGAAGTCTCCCATAACCATCTGGACCACCTTAAATAATATGTATTACTTGCCTGGTTTACCCTATGGTAGCTTTGAATTTGTCGAGCAGAGGCTTAGCAGTATATGTGGTACATCACATGCAGCAGTCAGGGCAGAGAAACTAAGACAGCAGGGGCAGAGGAAAGGCTGGCAAAAAAAGCACTCTAGAATTTATTTATTTTTTTTTCTGGATTACTTTGTTGCTTCTGTGAAGTTTTACACACCTTACAAAGTAATTCATGAGTTTTTAAAGTTCATAAAGGCAGTTAGTGCCCAGCAGTAATGTTTTTCTTGTACAGTAAGCTTACTTGCCAGTTGGAAAGATGTTTGACCTAATGCAAAACCCTCCTAGGTAAAGAGAATGTTATGTTGTTTAAGCACAGTAAATTCAATTGACACGTGTGTGTATGTATGATTGTAAGTATACATATGTGTGTGTGTAGGCATTATACATTTAAATTGGATTTTCCTCTCGCCTTCTTTGAGCATCTTTATTCACAGTATATCTGTCTTGGCTCAGTTACTGATCCATTTTTACATCTTAGGTAACATTTTGAAAAGTGCCATTGTATGTAAGGAAGTAAGTGGCATTCAGACTCTGAAGGCAATTTAGGTGCTTTTGAAAATGGGGTCAAAGTTTCCTTGTCATTTGGATGCATAAAAATTTTTACTTTCTGTGGTTATAACAATTTATTATTAGTATCACAGTAACATAGAGGAGGCCAGTCATGCGAACAGAACTCCATTGTGCAAGGTTTTGAACAAATGTATTCTAAATAGACAGCCTCTGACTCAGAGGATTTAGGAATTACTTTTTTCCTCTGTCTGCCCCTCTCTTTTTTTTAATTCGTTATTTTTTTTTAAGCAGAATACAAGTAATGTTAAGATTTAAATATACAATGTTTGAGTAGTTTGGAAGGAAACAAAACTGAATTCACTCATCCATGATTTTTAGTAAGGAAAAAGAACAGTTGCAAAACTCTAAAATTTCTGATGCTAAAAATTCCACTTGATTTTGTAAAATAATTTATTAGATTTTCATGTATTATACACTAAAACAGATGTTTATTGACTTACAGGAGTGGGGTTCTGTTCATTTGTATCAGACCCACTTGGCCTCTAGAAGAACTTAAAGAATTCTACCTGGATAACTGTAGTCAAAGTTCTTTGCTTATGTAGATATGTCCACTTGTCAGCAAGGTAAAATAACTTTTCGCTCTTATTCTCTTTACATGGCCTGTCTAAAAGCCAGCACAATTCTGGTACATTGTGGCAAAATGTTTCTCGTGCAAAAAATGAGTGGTATTTTCTTCCCTGATCTGCACTTTGAGTCGTGGAAAAGAAGTCACTGATGTCAGAAAGTCTGAGATAACTCCTTAGGAGATGGATGTATATCTATGGTCAGATACACCTTCCAAACTGACCAGTACATGTGTGCTGTGCTGTGTTCAGGTTCTCAGCTTCTGCCATCCAGAGCACCAGAACTCCTCCTTTCTGCATCATTCTGGAACTCTTCATCACAGAAACCACTGTGTGTGGAGGCTGGTATTTTCCCTGATTGTCTCAGCAAGTGAAGTTGGGAAATGTCTGGGATATTTATCTGAACACTCTGGAATTTTCCCTGGAGATGAAAATACTAGAATTTGATCCTCCATATCCTTAAAACAGTAGAATATTGAGATGGTTGTATAGAAACTAATTTTGTTGTATTAAAAATATGACATCTCAATTTATTATTTACCTTTAAAATCTGTAGGCAAATAATAATGATTTTTTGTTGTTGTTGCATATGTGAGTTTTCCAAATTGATTAAAATATTTGTAAAGGAATTACCAACAGTAATTGAAGTAAATGCATGGGAAAGGAGGAGATTAATATAGCCTAACTAGGGTTTAGTGGGTTTTCTTTGTTTGTGTTGGTGATTTTTTTTGTGGGAGAGGGAGCAAGTGAGGTTTTTTCATTGTTCTTTAACCTGGAGCTGCCTGTGAACTAACTGGATCAAGCAGATAGCTCAGGTCTAGCCTAAAAAGTAGTGAAATATAAGGTTTCAAGAGAATTTTGTTAGATCTGTAAATGAAAACAAGAAAATGGAAATATATTCAGAAATTGAGCCCATTTCTATCTTAATTTTTATTTTTTCTCTCTTCTTTCATCTCCCACACCTTTTTTCTGTCCCTAAATATTGATTATTGACAAAATTCCTATACTTGCATTATATTTACATATTTTAGCTGCTAAGTGCTGAAACTTAACCATTTACTAAGTAGTTTTCAAATGGCTCCCATCATTTCAAGCTCCGGGTGTCTTTTGCTTTATGACTGAGACATAAATGCTGCATAGAATTACCCATGCACAGAGAAACCTGCTAACCAACAGAAAACATCTAAAACATAAAAGTACTATCAATGATTAGCAAAAGTGTCCTGAAAATCAATGCACTGTAGGGATTTGAAATGTTAGTGATTTCACCAGTGTTTCAAGATTCAGCTACCAATCTCAACTGCACCTTAGCACTAAAGTAATTTCATTTGGTAGGAATCAGTTAAATGTTCTACGTTTTTAAATTACAAGAGCCTTTGTGCTGAAAAAGCCCTATATCTGCAATCAAACTTTCCACAGACTTGGCCATATTGTACACACTCAAACACAAAGGGAACAATTACTGTATATGATGTCTCTCTGCTCCTTATAGAAGATATAGGTGGAGCATTAGGGAACTGTCTTAATCTGTAGCCCTGGTCTTGGCAATACTTACAGTCACTACTGTGTTCACTAAAATTTGTCTCCTTATTTCAGTGCAGTGATGGAGCTCTGGTTCCTCCTGCCCAATTATACTGCAGCAAGATCCCCTTCCTGCAGCACAGGCAGGCTACAGAGCACTGGAAAAAAAGCAGCTGGTACAGGCCCAGCTAAGTGAGTTGATGGTTCATGGGTGCTATTGCACTGGAATTTTCCAAAATCCTACTTATGTCATTTGCCTCACCAGACTGATGCTTTATACCAGGATGTTTTAGAAAAAGACTTTTTATATGCGAAAGTCTCACATTTACTTCTGTGCCCTACTCTGACATTTTAAATGGAATTTGTGAATCTGCTTCCTTTGCTTCTTTTCTTCGGTATGCTGTTCATTCAGACTAGAAGTTGATAACTCCTACAAAAACAAAACAGACCTTTTTATTTTGGGAGATGGAGAGATGTTTGGTTTGCAAATGAAATAAGAAAAATAAATGGAGATTTTCCTGTGTACTTGAAAGCATTTCTTTGTCAGAAAATCCATTTCTCCTCCCAATCTATTTCTCTTTGAAGAAGAATTCTTTGCCTGACCTTTGCAGCCAGTTTCTGACCTCTTTTTGCCTCATTTTAATACATGTGTGTACATGTATATTCAATGCTCAGATAGAATACTGGTACTTCTTTTCTCATCTTTGTGCTAGATGAATAGATCACATGCTAAGGATTTTCCTCTCCCTACCATGACCACTGTGAATATGTATGCACACACATGGAATTCCATCTAAGCCCCTTGTTTCTGAAAATGTTTAAACAAGAAATAAAATCATAAAACAAATAAAAAACGTAAAAGACACAAAAATACTTATAGGTTGGAAAGTTGACATAAGTAGCTGGGAAATCTTTCATCCCTGTTTATTCAAGTTTTTTATTGGTCAGACACAGTTAGCTAAGAACATTTCTGAATACAGATATGCAAGTTGTGTTCTGCCTTGTTTTTCCTATGATTTTTATATTCTTGCCACAAGCATCTGTTAATAGAACCAGTCATAAGTATGAATGAATAATAAAAGGCTGATAAGCTTTTTAAGAACATGCCTATTTTAGTAAAGAAAGTGAATGCTGCATCTTGGTTTTTTTGCCTAGTTAATCCTATTACTTCCTAAAATAATTCCTCATGACTGGCCAGAATTAAAACTAATAGGAACAGCAAATGCCAGTTCAGTCTCACTTAATCCGAACCTAATCTGATGGTAGACATAGTGAATTGCTTCAGCATGACCTTCATCTTTTTCTTTGTTCTTAATTGGCTAATTGTGTTTACTTGATCAAAAAGTATTATACAAAATCTGGAACATGAAAGCTAACCTTATTGGTTTTAAGCTTTATTATTACAGAATTGGAGTTTTCACATAGAAGCAACAAAGAAAGATCTG